CATTGGCCATTTGCTGTACAATTAACCCGAAATCGGTAGAATATATATAGGGGAGCTATATCTAAATCTGACCCGATTTTCACCAATTTTAATTGGGGTTGTTCTTGGCCAAGAAAATATTACTTGGAAAATTTAATCTCAATCGGATAATAAATGCCCTGCATTTTGTTTACAAGAATACGTGGACAGACGGTCTGATACTCAAAATTAACTATGGGTCTATCTCGCATACTTCTCCACAGGCACTATGTGGTAGAGGGTATGAAAATGTTACATTTCTAGCTCCATATGCTGTTTTTTCTATTCCATTTTTCGAATAATGATTGTAGCACTGCCACTGACATCGATCAAGAAGTAGCTTACCAATCAACAAAAAATGGAATTTTCAATCAAATTGCCCTGAGGATCCCATGTACCACGGCCCCCCTCTGACAACGTCGGTGCATTGCATATATTTAAAACAAGATCCTCAAAAAGGAGGTCAAACCGAAAAAACTCTAATGTAAACATACTACAATATTGGAAGCCTTTCAATTGATTTCTCAATCATGAGGAGGGCAAATATTAATTACAACTCTATAATATTGACATCTCCCATATTGAATTGCTACAATCTGATCCCAGTCACGATATATAGTTTAATATTGAATTCTGCCAATGAAAGTAATTTCCTTCTAATTGTTGGAAAATAATTTATGCTTTCAATTTAATATGAGGCACACTTGTTTCAAATGCCAGATCAAATAGCAATTACCTTTTCTAAAGAAAAAAATGTTTTTTTTTTTTTTTAATTTTCCATGAACTATTTACACTTTAAATTCAATATTTGATATTTCTATGAAATTATCATTTTTTTATTTTCAATAGTTTAAAAAAATCTTAATTGTAATTAAACATGTTGTTGCATGACGTCCAACTAACTAGCTGCCGCCGCCTGCCAATGCTAGCACACTCGTAATTAAATATACAACTCGCGTTTTGATGCAACGAAACGATGCCGTTTTATTGTTTCTTTTCCGCTTCATTTCACTTGAGAACCGGAAATCGAATAACAGTTATATTTAATTATTCGATTTTTGTAAGGAAATTGATGGAAGGCAATCTTTATTTATACTAAACTGTACCGAACAAAAACGGAATTTTTTATTATAATTTTTTAAATTATTAGCTTTTTTTCAAAAACATCATGTTGACATGAATTTTGCATGTGCTCGATTTAGTTGTGCGATAGTGCATCAAATAAAATATTTGAAATTCATGTGTATTTTAAGGCATAAACTGAGGAGAGGAGTAGTTCTAATTGGGAATATTTCGAGTTGCGATTTTTAAATACAGCTCAATATTGTACAAAAAAATTAAAAAATATACACATTAAATGAACAAACAAACATTGAAGATAGTACTTTTTTTCAAGCAACATCAAATAAAATCATAACAAAAAATTGAATCGATTTGTAATTTTTTGAATTCCAATTTAGAAAATATGGCGATAAGTTCGAATATTATAGTCAAATCGGCTACAAAATTCCAATATCGGGTTGCCTTTATATGAACAATATTCCAACATTTTTTTAAAAATAATATGAAATATTTTTTGGAAGCCAAAATACAAAAGTGGCGCCCAATCAATTGGAAAATGCTGCTTGGACCTTATAAATATCTAGAGCTGGGGGTTATCATTTCATGGAAGTTGTGCCAAAATTGGACCTGCAGTGAACATTTTTATACCTTGTCATAGACGTTACCATTCGATAACCTCAATTATAGTTACATCGGCTCCAAAATTGCTACAAATTTTAAAAAGAATACAAAATATTTTTCTGATGCCAAAATACAAAGGTGGCGCCCAATCATTTTACAATTGAATTGACTGCTAGAAACTTCAAAATGTCTATAACTGCGGATTATCATTTCATAAGAGTTGTAGCAAAATTGGACCTGCAGTTAACATTTGTATACCTTGTCGTGGCCGTCGCAATTGGGTAACCTCAATTATAGTCAAATCGGCCCCAAATGTTCCAAATTTCTAAAAATAATACAAAATATTATTCCGAAGCCAAAATACAAAAGTGGCGCTCAATCAATTAGAAATTCTACTTGGACCTTATAGATATCTGTAGCTAGGGATTATCATTTCATGGGAGTTGTAGCAAAATTGGTCCTGTAGTGAACATTTGTATATATTGTCATAGCCGTCACAATTGGATAACCACAACTATATTCAGATCGGCTCCAAAATTGCCAAAGTTTGTAAAAAGAATACAAAATATTTTTGCGAAGCCAAAATACAAACGTGGCGCCCGATCAATTGAAAATTCTACTTGGACCTTCAAAATAAAAACAGCTGGCGATTAGCATTTCATGGGAGTTATATCGAAATTGAACCTGTAGTGAACATTTTTATACCATACATTATAGTATTGGGATGTTTGGGTTGTGGATAATTTCAGGTCCATTTGATGGTACTCGTTTGTAGATCCAAACGCCAAACATTGTTAAGGTCCTTATATAGTTTTTACCATATTAACCCTATAGTTTGAGATGTATTTGGTAATATTTAGAGTAGAACTTGGAAATTTGACAGTGATCTTTGACTTACATCCGGAATCATTGGTGCAACAATTGAGTCGTAAAGATAACTTCATGATTAAGTATTTTGGCGGACTGCGAACTCTTCTAGAATTACGAACATAGAGCTTTGTTAAAAATCTTCTGGAGGGTATATTAAGTTTGCCATTCATTTTGTCTGCAGGATTTTTGGTATTGAAAATGGGCCATATAGGTCCACGTTTTGGTATAGCCTAGCATAGCATATAATGGTACCCCTATTTTCGGTATTTTGGTAATTTAAGCGACATTATTCACCGGAAATGTTTTAAATTTGTTATTTGAAGCTCAAAAATTGTCCGTGCAGGTCCACGTCTTCGTATAGCCCTTACATAACAGTACCTCCCGATATTCGGAATGTTGATGATTTTAGCGACATTATTCACCGGAAAGGTTTAAAATTCGGTATTTGAAGTTCGTAATGAATATTACAGCCTAAGACAGAAAATTGTCTGTGCAGGTCCACGCCTTCATATAGCCCCCATATAACGGTACCTCCTGATATTCGATATTTTAATGATTTTAGCGACATTATTCACCGGAATTGTTTCAAATTTGGTATTTGAAGTTCGTAATGCATACTACAGTCAAGACAGAAAATTGTCTGTGCACGTCCAGTTCTTCGTATAGCCCCCATATAACGTTACCTCCCGATATTCGGTGTTTTGATGATTTTAGCTACATTATTTACCGATTTTTTTTAAGATTCGCATTTGAGTTTTGTAATTAATGGCTTATGTCAAAAGAAGCCTATGCAGGTCCACGTCGTCGTATAGACCCTAATATAACGGCTACATTCAGTATTTTTAGGATTTCAATGGGATTTTTAACGGATTTCAACGGGATTTTTAACGGATTTTATTTTTTTTTTGAAAATTGCTAAATTCGTTCCAAATAGTGGAGGTTATTCAAAGTTCGGACCGGCTGAACTTACAGCTTTTTTTCTTGTTTTCATTTCTTCTTTGTTTGGCGACTCCAAGACTCGAGATCACAGCCATCGAGTTTGTGCCGACGTTACATATTACATGGTACTGATGAAAGTAAGTTAATCTTCATTGTATTTTTAAAATTACCACTGGAAATGTAAAAATAAGTTCCTTTAAATTATCTTTTAATGGGTCTTTCGGCTCATACAGCTTCCAAATTATTGCTGGAAATTTATGGAATCAAGACGTTGTATTAAATTTACATTTCTCAATATCGAATTGTATTAAATTTACATTTCTCAATATCGAATTATGACGTATTTTTCAAATCGAAAAATACTGAATGTTCCCACACAAGACTCCCTTGGGTGGTAAATCACAGAGATTCGTAAACAATTCAATTATTGAATATTCCGCTACGTCATTGAGAGTTCAATGTAATTAGGAAACGTAAGACTGAATAATTCCTCTTCCTCTCTCACTCTTTCTCCCATTTAATGAAATAACAACAAAACCACAATAACAACAAAATGGAACATGAACACTTAACACTTGTATTATTTATTAATTAATGCAGTTTTTGCATTTTTAACATTTGATCTTGACTTGGTCAAGCCAAGTCTAGCCAAGCCAACAAACGACGCAGAGCCAACAACAACAAAACAGCGCCGCAAAACAAGTGACTGAAACAGTTTTTTGCAGCAGCAGCAGCAGCCAAAAGTAAAGCAAATATTTAACGATGAGCATTCATTCTTTTACGAAGCGACAACGTTTCGGGTGTGTGAGCCAGAGTTTTATGGGACAGTTTATTTTCGACTGGCCATCGGTTCACATTAAATACTGCGAAAAAGAAGAAGCAGCAATAATATTCAATTCAAGTGTTTAATTCTGCTGCTCGCGTTCGAATACTGAGTTGACTCTGGCTTGGCGGGCGAACCTTTTTCTAAACGAATTTCGCAAACGGCAGCGCATTCACGTGAAGGCTGTCGCCAAAGTTACAAGACCAAAAAACTAACAACACACAAAATAAAAACATTAACTGAAAAAAAAAAAAAAATATTAAATAAATAAATAAATGAAAACATCAAGTACAAGCAATAATAAATATACAATTTACTATATAAAAAAAATAATCTTTTAAAAATAAAAATATAATTTAATAAACTTTGAAAAATATCCCTTTGTAATAAATAGTATTTTTTAAGGAATTCGTATTAACTGTTTTTAAGGTGTGTGATTTTATGACAAATTAAAAAATAAATGATATATTTACTTATATGATAAATATATATTTAAAAAAAATATTTTTTGTTCATTTTTATAATTTTGATTTTTTTTATTAACGAAATAACAATTTTTATTCATTTGAAGAATTAAAAACTTTTTTTAATTTTTTTCAAACAATGATTTTAAAAATCCTTAAATAACCATTTATTAACCTGCTTCCCTCTACTATTTTCTTTTTAGGTTTAAATAATATAAATAAATTATCCTATATATTTTTTGGATAAGGATCTATCAGTTTTGTTGTTAATATTTCTACCTGCAAATTTGGTAAGTAAAAACAATTTAAATTTAAATTCCATTAACAATTTTTTTTAAACAATTTATAAATTAAAAATTAAATGCCAACTGAACTACTCTTGGCGACCAAACATTTTTTCCATGGAGATTGGACTTTTAAGTCAGTAATAATTTGAAAACATTCATTTTATACTACAACAAATCTACTTTCCAAAAATGGGGTCTATATAGCTGCAAAATAAAACTATTTGTAGGAGAAGAAATTATAATCCTCTAAAGTGCAAAAATTCCAATTTGCAGGACAATTATAAATAAAAATTGATTTTTATACCCTCTGCCATGTGGCTACAGAGAGCATATATCATTTGATACGGTCAAAACGTGCCTAGTCGAAATAACGGTTTTAGACCCTAGGTCTCTTTGGACCAAATCCGTTTCAGAACATTTGGAGTCGATCTAGCGATGTCCGTCCGTCCGTCTGTCTGTCTGGCTGGCTGGTGCGCACGATAACTCTCGAAGGGAGTAACGGATTTCATCCAAACTTGGTACATCGTAATATTTTTGTCAAACTTAGATCGAGTTCGGAGATGGGTAAAAGTTCCACAAAAGTTCGAAATTTTCAAAAAATATATTTATTGCACAAAAAGAGAAATTATAGTTCGATTTTGCTCCAACTTTGCAAATCCTAATATTTGCATCAGTGCTAGGTCAGTTGCGAAAATGGACAAAATCGGTTCACTCCATCTAGTACCTCCCCAACAAAGGGTCAAAATTTTGAATAATTATAACCCTTATAAAATGTGATGTAAGTGTGCGATTGACTTCGAATTTCACACATCCCAATATTTATATTAACCCAAAGTCTGGTGTTAAGATGGAATATATCGGTCCACTTCTTCTGATACCTACCACACAAAATGTCAAAATTTTCAAAGAAAATAATTCACTGCACAGAACGAGAAACGATAATCCGATTTTGCTCCAACTTTGCGAGTCCTTATATTTGCATCAGTGCTAGGAAGGGTGCGAAAATAGACAATATGGGTTGACTCCATCAAGTACCTCCCCCACATAAGGGTCAAAGTTTTTAATAGCTTAAACGATCATGAAATCCGAAATAAGCGTCTGGCTCTCTTCAAATTTCACACATTACAATATCTTTTCACAAGGTCTGGTGTGAAAATGGAATATATCGGCCCACTCCTTCGGGTACCTCCCCCACAAGGGGTCAAAATTTTAATATCCATGAAGCTCAAAAAACGCGAAATTAACATTCGATTCCATTTAGACCTGACACATTTCAATATTTCCACAAACATAAGATCTGCTATAAAGATGGTAGAGATCAGACAATTTATTCTGGTACCTTCCCACATGGGGTTCAATATTTTACACACAAAACCCTCAAAGAAGGCGAAATAGGCATTGAACTCTCTTCAAATTTCACAAACCCAAATATTTTTGCTAACGAAAGATCTGTTGTGAAGATGATATATATCTGCAAAACCCTTCTGGTACCTCACCCATCTGTCATAACTTGCGAAACAAGTCGGGATTCTATATACAACTTGCTATATCTAAATATTGCTCTTAACCAGAAACCTTAGACGGAAAAATGTCTATGCAGGTCCACGTCTTCGTATGGCCCCCATATAACGATACCTCCTGATATTCGGTGTTTTGATGATTGTATGTATTGTATTTTTCAATGGAATTGTCTGAAAATTCACACAAGGAGTTCCTTCTGAGTACTTTACCCCCTGGAAGGAAATTGCCTATGTATGACGGTTGTCTATGCAGATTTTTTTAACATTTTCAACTTCCTTTCAAATAGTGGAGAGTATTTGGTTTCCTTTTCACTTGTTAAGCTTAAAAATTCGTGGGAGCGCATAAAAGTATGCTATATAGATAAATGTGAAAAAAGTCACTTTACATATGACTCTAATATGATGTGTAATTTGATCTTTACAAATAATAGTAATCTAAAAGTGTGCCCAAACTTTTTATCGTTTGCAGATATAACATATATTTTTGTTAAAATTTTAAACCTTTCATGATTAAAATTCAAACGATGTATTGAATGCTTCTTTAGCAGTTAGTCAACTATTTGAGGTCTCTTGACATAATATCTCTGGAATTCGATCATGGTCACCTTGCCAATTTTTAACAGCTCTAATTGATTTTTAAACATCTTTCATTTGAAATTATCATTCCAATGATCTCAAAATGATCTCATAACATACACACTTACATCCGAGCAGAAAACTGACTTCTAGTGGGGAAGTTCACAGATTTCTATCTGCAATATAATCGAAGTGAGATTATTGACGAAAAAATACATTCGGGCAAATAAAAAAATAATTTAATTCAGAGAACTTTGTTCTATTCCAACACAAATCTTTCCCGACCCTTGGCGAAAACAAAGTTGTGTTAAGAGGCTGCAAATGCATGGAACACATTCAGTTTTATATATGAGGTACGGCATATAACTTTTTTTTAGAAAATCGAGTGTAGATTCGGCTGAGTGGCAATATTTCTACTCTTCAATTTTTGTGAAGAAAAATTCGTTCAACTTGACCCGGGCAAATAAAAAAATAATTTAATTCAGAGAACTTTGTTCTATTCCAACACAAATCTTTCCCGACCCTTGGCGAAAACAAAGTTGTGTTAAGAGGCTGCAAATGCATGGAACACATTCAGTTTTATATATGAGGTACGGCATATAACTTTTTTTAGAAAATCGAGTGTAGATTCGGCTGAGTGGCAATATTTCTACTCTTCAATTTTTGTGAAGAAAAATTCGTTCAACTTGACCCGGCCACTACTTTCCCATTATGTCTCTGGACTAAAATCCACACCAAATAGTGCAGTGACTTGGGATAATGGAGGGATTTTGAAAAGGGAAAATCAACGCTTCAGGAAAGCAACAAAATTATGCTTATTTTTTTTATTACACCTGATACCGAACCCTTTTTGTATAACATGGCTCTATGTCATGTTATGTCGGTCATGCCATAATGTCACATGTTATAATGTCTATCAAATACTGGATACATGATTGACATTTCTACGTATCGAAAACATATTTAATAAATAACTTATGCCTATACCTTATATTGTGTCGAAATTCTGTTTTCAAAGGCACCATATAAATTACAAAAAAAATTACAAAAAAATGCTTAAAAATCTAAAGAAGCAATTACGATTTTCGAATCTAGAATATGTACATTGGCAGGGGTTTTATGGACACTAATTTCATATAGATGTACATATTATAGATCTGACTGACATGTGCGGAATAAACAAACACGTGTTTGGGCTTTTTAATTAAGTACTTGAATTTTTTTTTTTGTGTCAAACATCCAGCCTGATCATGTAATAAAAACCCGTCTCATAAATCTAAATTTTAACAGTTCTAATGGCCACTGTCACTGATCTCCTCCACTTTTACCCACATAATATATTTTGACAAATTTTTAGCACGTTTTTAGACTAGATCTATAAAAAAAGAGGCTCTTAATTGGTACCTGTCAGGCATAATGAGCCAACCTGCCAGCCAGCCATCCCATGAAGCGGTCACCTCAGAATTTGTATAACAAATTGACAACCACCACAAATCATAGCCGAAGAATTGACAAATTAAGTGTAGCTTTTTGTTGTTACTGTTGTGAATTGTCAAGAAGTAACCATTTGTATTCATTAAAACAATACATTTGAATACATTATAGCGAATTGATGTTAAAATTATTGTGGTTTGTCTTTATTGGCGGATTATTAAATAAATTATTTGGGATTTTTTTTTTGTATTGGAGACATCTATGCCTATTACTCAAAGTACATGGGTATGACCAGGCAGTTTTTCTTCTTTTTTTAGAAAATTAAATCTTTGCAAAATAATCGATTTTTAATTCCTTGCAAAAATTCTAAACCAAAAAAAAAAAAATATATATATATATATATATATATATATATATATATATATATATATATATATATATATATATATATATATATATATTTTTAAAATCATAATAACAATATAGATAAATATCAAAGTCGGCACAATTTTGATATTTGACAAGTGTTGTTATTATTCGAACAGCTTACCTTTTGTTGGGAAGATACGAAAGAAAAGGAAGGAGAGGGATGGACCAATGTATTCTTTCTTTTCTCTTCACTCGTTATTGAAAATCTCCGCCCTTTGTGGTAGATGTACGAGTACAGAGGTATCGAACCTCAGGCCTCATATGGGAATTATAAAATTTTTGTAACAATTCTCGATTTTTAGTTCCTCTATAAAACCTGAAAGATTGGCGGATACATCCCGGTATAGCCCACAACCCAAGTTTGACAAAAGTAATACGACGTTTGAAAAGTCATCGTGCGCTCCAGCCAAGCAAATAGGCCGACATGAGTAGATCAACACAGCATATACTACCATTATTTTTTGTGGCACATTTTGACCCATATTTTCAGGAAAAATGGGGTATTATGAAGTTTAATAGACAAAAGAAGAAAACACTTAAAAAATATTCAATATTTAATTAATTGGCACACAGAAATATCAAAGTCTGTGCCAATTCGAAAACTATTTAGTCGAGCTCAAGTCAAGTAAAATTAGTTTTTCCAAATTTTTATACCTTCAGCCATATGGCTAGAGAGGGTATATATCATTTGAAACCGCCAAAACGTGTCTCATCGAGATAATTGTCAAACTTAGATCGAGTTCGGAAATGGGCAATTTCGGTCCACTCCTTCTTGTACCTTCCCGCAAAAAAAAAAGCGAAATTTTCCAAAAAAAATAAAAATATTTTACTACTCCAACTTTGCAAATCCTAATAGTGCTGGGTCAGGTACGAAAATGGGCAATATCGGTCCACTCCATTAAGTATATCCCCCACAAAGGGTCAAAATTTTAAATAATTATAACTATTATAAAATTGTAATGTAAGGGTCCGATTGCCTTTAAATTTCACAAATCCCAATAATTTTATTAGGTGTCAAGATGGAGTATATCGGTACTGGTACCTCCGCCACAAAAGATCAAAATTTTCTTTCAACAAAAAAAAAATTCTGCAAAAAAGGAAGCAATAATCTAATTTTTCTTCAATTTTGCAAATAGTAATATTTGCTTCAGTTCTAGGTGAGGTGCCAAAATTGATAATATCGGTCCACTCCAGCATGTACCTCCCACACAAAGGGTCAACATTTAGAATAATTATAACTCTTATAAAATGAGAAGTAAGCATCCGATTCTATCCATCATTATCACAATATCTTTATCACAATATTTTTACTAACCCAAGATCTGGTGTGAAAATGGAATATGTCGGACCACTCCTTCTTGTACCTCCCCTACAAATGGTCAACATTTTTAAAATTCATAAAGTTCATAAAACTCGAAATTAACATCGATCCCATTCAGACTTTGTACATCTCAATATTTCAATCAACACAAGATCTGTTATAAAGATGATAGAGATCGGACCATTCCTTCTGGTCTCTCCCCCACAAAGGGTTAAAATTTTGAATAACCAAAAAGGTCATAAAATCCGAAAAAAAACATTCGATTCTCTTCAAATTGCACATATCACAATATTTTTATTAACCCAAGGTGTGATGTGAAAATGGGATATATTGTTCCATTCCTTCTGGTACCTCCCCCACAAAGGGTCAAAATTTTGAATATCCCTGGAGCTCATAAAACGCGAAATTAACATTCGATTTCATTCAGACTTAGTACATCTCAATATTTCCATCAACAAAAGATCTATTGTAAATATGAAAGAGATCGGACCATTTCTTCTGGTACCTACCCCACAAAGGGGCAACATTGTGAATAATTATATCTCTCATAAAATGTGAAATAAGCATCCAACTCTCTTCACCTTTTTCACCCATCCTAATATTTCTACTAACACAAAATCTGCTGCAAAAATGAGATAAATCGATCTACTGCTTCTGGTACCTCCCCACAGAGTGATCAAAATTTTTAGCAATAAAACGCTCTAAAAATGCGAAATAAGCGTCTGAATCTTTTCAAACTTCATACATCTCAATATTTCTACTAACACAAGATATGGTGTGATGATGATAGATATCGACCTTCCCCTAGGCAACAATTTCAAATACTTAAACCTCTCATAACTTGCGAAACAAATCAGCGAGTCCATTAAAACCTGGTATATCTTAATATTTCCCTCAACAAGAGATGTTACGTAAATGCATTTTTCTGCCAACTCCCTCTGATACCTCCTCCTCCACAAAAAGTTAAAATTTTGATTTACAATTATTCGCTCAAAATTCGATTTTCTTTACATTTTGCAGGTTCCAATATTTTTATTAATATTAGATGAAGTGGAATACTTCGATTCACTATATCTGACACCTCACGCAGATTTTAACATTCTCTAACAATTATCACATATCTCATCAAGTGAAGTATATATTCGATGTAGTCTAAACATGACACATATATCAGAGAAGAATTGGACAATATTGGCCAACTCCTTCGGCACCTCCCCCATAAAGGCTCAACATGTTGAATAATACGTAGTGATGCCAAAATATGCTTAAATAAACGGACAATAGCTGAGGGTATACATCCGTCGACAAAAACCGACGGGTATTTTTTAACTTGAAATTAATTTTCAATTCGTTGTAAAAATGTAAAATAAAATTCAAAATGCAACATTTTACCACTCGGTTGAATTCCGACACAGATCGTGGAGGACATTCTTTAAATGACATTTTTTTTTTATTCACAATTTATTTTCTACAACAACAACCTGGTCTTTTTTGTTGTAAATCATGCATATAACTTATATAAATATATCTTCATAGGTACCACAACCATCCAGCCGTCCAATGCCCTTTATATTTCCAGCACGTCTATCAAAAAATAGGCCTTTAAATATGAAATATTTTTTGTTCCTAAGAAATCTTTATATGTTAACTGCTTCCGCATTGTATTTTCTCAAAAGTAGCTGTCCTTAATCCTAGTTCACTTATATTTTGCAATTGTGTGTGTGTGTGTGTGTGTGTGTGTGTGTGTGGAAATTCCCCATTCGAAATAAACACGTTACTCCACACCACACACTCATAATAATACCAATTATGCCGCTCATCGTCATTATTGACTCCCAACATTTTCTAGCCTTTAATTTTGCCATGATTCTTTGTTGTAGTTGTTGTTTTTTGAATATCCTTACGAAAAACCAGTAATTAGTGGAATATTTCCTTGGATTGTTCTGGAGCTCCCCCTCCATTATTTTAATGCAAAATGATGTGGAACAATTTTTATTTTTGTTTTGTTGACAAGTCAAAGCCTTGGCTTTCGTTTAATTTCATGGAAATTTTATGTGGATTTTTGTTTATTGCTCTTGTGCTGTGTGGTGTTGTTATTGTTGCTTGCTATAATTATTGGTTAAAAAGAAACAGTTTTTATTTTTATTAAATTTAAATGATTGCTGCTGAATCAAATTAACGTACACAACTACGTCATATTATTGGCAGTAACGTTTTCATGGGTTGTTTTTTTTTTTAAGTGGATTCCTGTTTTTTGCTCAATAACCTTTGTACTCACTCAACACAGCCAGATTCAAAACAAAAATATATTTAAATAAAAATATGTAATAAAAAATAAACAAATAAGAAAGACGAAAAAGAATGAAACAAGGAAGGATCGAAGTTTCTATTTTTTTCTTCACTGTCAAAAAATATGTTCAATCTCAAAGAGCATTAAATCGATTACAGGCACATTGTTCGTTCACCCTTCAAACCATCATAGTTCTAAGTAATGTGTACAAAAACGAATACTAAAATAAATCCATTTTGACAAATAATATTCAATTGAGGATTGCAAATTAACTTTGACCTATTCCGAACCATCATCAAAATGTCCTAAATTGAAGCGGCAGCTAGTAATCAACTCCTAAAACTGCAATTGCCTAAAACTGCAGTCCTTACAGACAAAATATACACCGAACCGGCCGATCTTCATTCACACATATTTGAATAATTGCTAAGAATTTAGGCTATACCTACATTTACATAATATTATTAATTGTTTTTTTTTCTCTCTTTTCATTGCAGTTTTTATTGAAACAAATTAAAAATGGCTCTCGCAATTGTACATGATATATATGACTGGTACAGGGATCTCATGGACAACAAAAGTGGTAAGTAAACCCTAAGTGAAGAAATATTTTTTTGCCCTACTGTTAAACATTTCCCTAACTCTTTTAGGATCTTGTAGACATAAGTAGTAATTTGATTTATATTTTTTGTGAGATCTAATATTTTTTTATCGCCTGAAAGTATGCTAATTATCTTTATATATATTTGTGGGGCCAAGTATTAAAAGTTGGCACTCAAGGTGGAAGATGTATTGATATATAAAATATATTTGTGGATATTCCGTAGCCCTACTACACATGATGTTAGGGTCATATGTAAAGTGACTTTTCCCACCATTAAATCTGACATTTTTATAGCATACTTTTAGACGCACCCCAGAATGGTTAATTAAAAAAAACGGTTGACACTATTAAAATAATGGAATGAATGGCATTAATCGGTGTATATTTGTGTTTACAAATTGTCGGGAGCTCCTCAAAGTATTCTATAAAAATACAATATATAAAATGTGAAAAAATCACTTTATATATGACTCTAATTCAATGTTTAATAACCAAGGACGAACTCTATTTAAACTGAAGATAATCGGTCAAAATTTAGATATTGCTCACATGTAAATCTTCGTCTGATTTACGATTTATTGTGCACAAAGTGGAATTTGGGTTCTTAGTCACACAGAATTTTCTGTAAGGCCATAATATTCTAATTTTTTTTAAATTTTTGCGTAATTTTTAAACTAATTTTTTTTCCAAATTTTGCAAGTTCTTTCCAAATAGTGGGGATATAAAGAGTTCGGCCCGCCAGAACTTAAGTTTTTTTTTTACTCCTTACTACTAAAATATTGCGCTAGAATTAAATTTTAAATTTTTGCACGAGATTTTAGATATTTTATCCCGTTTATATCGATTTAAAAAATTGCCTAAAAGTATGCTTTGTTCTACCTTTCTAGTTGTTCTACCCTTCTAGGATAAATTCCAGAAATAAGAGACTAAACTTGTATCCTCTCACTAGGAGAGCCCATCATTAAAATCTTTATGATTTCATCCAGGTCCTTTCAGCTTAAGTGGTGTCTGTCTTTCAGATGCTCTGTCGTGACCAGTTTTTAAATATTACACGTTATCCTGTTTCTGTTTTTATATCCTACACCATAAGGTGGTCCAGGGTATTATGCCTTTGTGCACTTGTTTGTAACGAGCAAAAGGGAACGAGATAGGCCCATAGTTCCTTTCGATAATCTGCATAGAATCACATTCTGAGTCCATTTGTGCATGTCCGTCCGTCTGTCCTTGTATTTTTGTAAACAAAGTACAGATCGCATTTCTTACCCGATCAAGATGAAAGTTTACAATATTGAAATTAGAGATAATCGGTCAATGTTTATTGTGCTCCAAACGTGTGATATCAGCATATATCAAGCCTGTAAATAAATATGCCAAATTTGATCCAAATCAGTTCAGATATAGCTATAGCTCCCATATATTTTGTTCATCCTATTTGTTATTTTTGTCCTCCGCAGTCGTAATATGCACTCTGTAACAACGATATTTGGGGAAATATATCAAATACAGTATAGAAATACCTTTACCAAATTTTATCGAGATCGTTTCAGATTTGGGTATAGCTCCCATATATATCTTCGTCCGGTTTGTTTACTAAGCGTGTAATATTTGCCCAAATGTGATGATGGATGGCACTTACGACCAAACTGAGCCTAGAAACATGTATGTCAAATTTGGTGAAAATCGGTTCAGATATAGCTATAGCTCCCTTATATATTGTTCATTCGGTTTGTAATTTTTTATATAAAGCTCTAGACTTTCTTTACTGGTTAAATATTAAGATTATGTAGTTAGGTGTTTAGCCTCAGGATTTTTTCATGTTTTCGCCAATGAGTCAGCCCCCTCACTCAACACTTCAGTTTACAGATAACAAAACATATCAAACCTTTGTTTATGCGATATGATGATGGGTTAAAGATCAACCTTTTAGTGTGGCCATTGATTACTCATATAAACAACTTGACTTTTTACGTAATATTATCGAAGTTATTTTATTTGTGATCTGGCCATCATAAAAATGACCATTGGTAGAAATTTAATGCCCCCAATGGTGATAAATTTTGTTTTTTTTTAGAAATAATGCTTACACGTTTAATATCGGACAGATCGTAAATTTTAATTAGCAGTCGTGGACTATAATCGACTATTCTGGTGATTGGAAAACAAAGTGAAAATTATTTCTTTATTTCAATATATTTTCGGGCCTTAATGCAACAATGTTTTTTTTTTTTGCAAATAAATCAAAAACCATAAAAATCCTATTAAAATATCGATTTTAGAGGCCTGTCCAATAAAACGTGTGCTTAAATGTCTCCTAGATAATATTCTGGTTTGCCTGGTTCTGGAAATCTAACTTCTTCCTGCTTCGTCATTTTTTATTGATTCTTGTCCCACATACATATATGGATCAATGCACTGATTTCTTATGCAAAATCGATTTTTGTCATTGACTCGCAATCATTTTTATTAAAATACTTAATTTATTCAAATGACGCATTTTCTTACTATTACTTTTGGTCTTTCACTTTCCCGCAGCCATTTCAATGACAAGTTTTTTATTGACTTCGAAAAACATTTCTAAAGTAATTAATTCATTTCACTATTTTTTTTAATGTGTTTATTGGCATTTGCACTAAAATGCAGCTGTCTTTATAGTCTTGAACTATTCTATTCCAAGTCTTTAATTTTTCCAATAAATTTATTTTATAACATTGAAATATTAAACAATTTTAGTGCCATCAATACATTCCCGTTCATCAAGTATTTCGATAAAAATTCCAATTTGAAATATTGATCTTGAAAACAAAAATATACGAACTTGTTTAATGTTTGCAACTTGATTTAAAAAAAAAACTAGAAATTCTATTGCTATTTTTGTGAAATAAAAATTATTAATAGTATTGAAATATAGGCTAATTAAGCATCATTTTTTATTATGCAGTTGAACAAGGTCACTGTGTCTTTTGTCTTTTGTACCTGATACACTACTACTTTTAATTCTAGAAACCTACTTTGTTGTACATAGTATTATTAAACTTTTAGAAAGTTGCAAGAATTTCAAGATAATTAATGTCTTATTTAAAACAACGTCAGGCATAAATTTTAATGTCTCATTCTACACCAAAAAATCTTCAAAATCTTTCATTTTGAAGTTTACCAAGGAGGATATGGGAAAATCATTGCACAATTGACCGACATCCAAAACAATTTCAAGGTCTCCACTTAAACCCTAGAAGCCAAGGCATTTGCAAACCATCGCCAAATTTCGAACACAGACATCAGCAGCAACCTAAATATTAAATTTCAAAATAACAGCCCCTTCCCCTTACCCAAAAGCCAATTGAGTACTACTTAGTACTTTTCGTGCAATTATGGTAAACATTTTCAAAACCACCTCTACATATCCACAATATCAAATTTGAGAATTCCAGTCCTATCCCTTCACCCAATACCAAGTTTAGTACCATTTAGTACTTTTCATACAAATATAGGACGCATTCCCAAACCACCGCCAAATCTCGAACACAGACATCATCAATAACCTAAATATCAAATTTCAGAATTACAGCTCCATTCCTCCACTCAAATCCCAATTTAGTACCATTTAGTACTTTTCGTACAAAAATTGGACACATTTCCAAACCACCGTTAAATCTCGAACACAGATACCAACAGAGATCTCAATATCAAATTTGAGAATTCCAGCCCTATCCCTTTGTCTAATACCAAATTTAGTACTATTTAGTACTTTTCGTACAAATATAGAACGCATTTCCAAATCACCTCCAAATCTCGAACACAGACACAGTCAGTTATCTAAATATCAAATTTCAGAATTTTATCTCTATCCCTTCAACCAAGACCACACATACACACTTCCAATTCTCATACCAGATTTCAAGTTTTTAACTCTATCCGCTCACATAAAACCAATTAGAAGTTTAGTATCATTTTAGAACTTTTCATATCCTTTAAAGTTCGAATTTTCAAAAACTCTACATCTATCATGCACTTCATCAGTGACTCTTAATCCAAATTTCAGAATTCTAGATTTTTTCGTTTGTTAAAAGCAAAGTGTATAATCTTAATACGTTTTAATACTTTTTATACCCTTTTAGTCCAAACCTAAACCCAGCTTAACATACGCCTACGCACCAAGACGCACTGTCGTGCAAAATTTCAAAATTCTAACTTCAGCCATTTCGTCTGGGTATTGATTCTCAGTTAGTTATTTCACTACCACTATATTTTTACTTTTTTAATTTTTAAAATTCCAATTTAATTAATTAAATATCTTCTTTTTTCCAGATCCTCGTGTAAATGGTTGGCCCATGATGGCCTCACCTGTACCCACATTTTTGCTGTGTGTCTTTTACGCTTATTTTAGTAAATCATTAGGACCAAAGTTAATGGCCAAACGAAAGGCCTTGGATTTAAGAAATGTATTGGTTTGGTATAATCTATTCCAGACCGTGTTCAGTGCGTGGATATTCTACGAGGTAAGACGAACTTACTTCAATAAATCATAATAATTTATATTTTAATATGTAATTTGTTCTTCTATTTTACAGTATTTAATGAGTGGCTGGTGGGGTGATTACAATTTCAAATGTCAACCTGTTGACTACAGCAATAGTCCAAAGGCTTTGAGAGTAAGTATTGGCAAATGTATTTCCATTTTAGTCAAAATCTTCTTCAAACCCTATCATTTTTAAATTATGAGCCATAAAAGCTAACATAAAATCCAAATGCATAAGACATTAAGGGCGACGCATTTCAGTTCTGGTTCTGTCACTCTTTCCTCTTAAAATTTAGGACAGCCAGTTTATAAATATTTTTATTTCTGTAATTAGAATTAAAAAGAAAGAGAGAGACCAAAATGGGTTCATAGTTCAAATATTGTTCAAAACCAGCTTTGAGACAGTTTTACAGCCAATATCTTGTATTTGGTAGTTTTATGTAAAAGAAAATCATCATAAATTATTGAAATATCTTGTAACCATATTTATATCCACATTCTGTGTACATAATTAATTAGATTCTATTTTTACATTGTTAATCGATAGTATTGTATGTAAAGGCCAATAAACTTCAAATAATTTATTAGCATATTTTGTTCCCTAAATCGCAACAGATGTCCGTAGTAGAAAGTCTTTTTAATTTTATTATCAGAAATATAAATTGGAATTGGATTCAAATGGAAATATCGTAATATTTTATTTTGTAAATAATCGGGCTGTTTGTGAATTTTTATTGGATGAAAACCTGGTATAAGTCACGTTTACCAGTGGAAATGCGAGAATTTGGCCCATTTGTAAAATTTGTAATAGCAATTAGTTATTCATTTTCGTTTCCATCTCTAAAGTTGATATAGCTATTTTTATACCCACATCCATATGGCTAGATAGGGTATTTATCATTTGATAAGGCAAAAACGTGCCTCATCGAAATAATGGTTTTAGACCCTAGTTCTCTTTGGCCCAATATTCCCAATATTTTTATTAACTTATGCATATTTCCACATTTGCACATATCTCATATAAAGTATAGGAAGTAGTCGATATACTCCAAATATGGCCGTTGTAATATTTTTATCAGTCTTAGGTCAGATACGAATTGCTCAATATTGACCAAATGATTCGGAATATAAATGAGAAACAAATCGAACTTAATTTTTAGACAATAAATTCCATTAAAATATTTCTTTTGATTGTGAGGTATTTCAAAACCTTCCCTACTAAATATAACTGCTATACTGACTTTACATTTTTACTGAATAGTTTACAAATTTAGAAGAGACAAAACAAATAACATCAGAAAACATTATCTTCGTCCCAACAGGCAAAACTTAAAGTTTCGACTCATTTATTTTCAATTTAATCCAATTAATAATTTTTCCATTTTTTTTAATTTTCAGATGGCAAACATTTGCTGGTGGTATTACATTTCGAAATTCACCGAATTCTTCGATACACTGTTCTTCATTTTGCGCAAGAAGACACAGCATGTATCGACGCTGCATGTCATCCATCACGGCTGTATGCCCTTCTCCGTGTGGATGGGTCTGAAGTTGGCCCCTGGCGGCCATAGTACCTTCTTTGCCTTATTGAACTCCTTTGTACATATTGTTATGTATTTCTATTATATGATCGCTGCCATGGGTCCCAAATATCAAAAGTACATTTGGTGGAAGAAGTATTTGACCACTTTCCAAATGGTAAGCTATCGAAATTGTAAACGTGAGATTTATATTAATTTGTTTTACTGTTCTCCAGGTACAATTTGTTGCTATCTTCACCCATCAATTCCAATTGTTGTTCCGCGAATGTGATTATCCCAAAGGATTCATGGTCTGGATCGGTTTGCATGGCGTTATGTTCCTATTTTTGTTCTCAGATTTCTACAAAACCAAATATACCCGCGCTGCGCAAAAAGTTAAAGCGGCCAATGGCCATGCTAGCGCGTCAGAAAAAGAATACCTCACAAATGGCAAAGCGACTGCCAATGGCAATGGTGTCTATGCCAATGGCAATAGCAATCGTGGAGCATGCATGGTGAGTAAAACAAAAAATGATAAATAAAATTAATTAGCGATGACCGTCTGCCGGACAGACGGACGTCTATGGAAATCACTCTAGCTTCCGAACGAAATGAAGTAGGTTGATAAAATTTTGCTCAAATGTATATTATGTATGCAGGTATTTGGTATTGACAATGAACCATGTAGGTCCTGGAAATGTTTGAAATTTGGTATTTGAAGTTCATAATGGATACTATAGGATATGACGAAAAATTGTCTGCGCAGGTCCACACCTTCGTATAGCCCCCATATAACGACACCTCCCGATATTCGGTATTTTGATAATTTTAGCGACATTATTCCCCGGAATTGTTTCAAATTTGTTATTTGAAGTTCGTAATGGAAACTACAGCCTATGACAGAAAATTGTCTGTGCAGGTCCACGTCTTCGTACCACCATATAACGGTCCCCCCCGATATTCCGTATTTTGATGATTTTATAGACATTTTTTACCGGAATTGTTTGGAATTTAGTATTTGAAGTTCGTAATACAACCTATGACAGAAAATTGTCTGTGCAGGTTCATGTCTTCGTATAGCCCCCATATAACGGTACCTCCTGATATTCGGTATTTTGATGACTTTAGCGACATTGTTCACCGATTTTTTTTTCGCATTTGAATATTGTAATGGCTTGTGACGTCATCGTATAGACCCTAATATAACGGCTATATTCGGTATTTTTAAGATTTTAACAGAATTTTTAACGGATTTTTTTTTTGAAAATTGCCAAATTCGTTCCAAATGGTGGAGGGTATTCACAGCTTTTTTATTTGTTATTTTAGACATTTACAGTTTTTAGTGGGCAGAAATCTCCTTGCGTAAAATTGGCAATATAAGTCATCATCTTGTAAAAAGTCTCTGGCTTATGAAAACGCCCAGATCGAATTATTTCTCATATAATTAAGTAATACTTGAGACTCATATGATATGTTTGTTTCACATCACAATTTCATATCGGCTCGGCGGACTTTTTGTTATGGCATTTCCAAAGAATTCGACATTTCCAAATTAAATATTGAACTTAAGAACACTTTCCATGGTGATCCTGCCAAAGACCTTTTACGCACTTCGTAAAGTATTTCATATTTGTTTTTTGTTTTCTTTCTTTCAATATCTCCCTCTTTGTGAATATGTATCGAAAGAAATGAATTCCCAAACGTGGAAACTTTTGCCGGCTACACTGAATAACAATTCGTAACATGCCTATTAAAAAATTCATTGCAATTTTATGGGTTTTATCGTACCGTTTTGCAATTAACCACCAGTGACCGAACGGCTGTTAAAGTGTTGGTGACCATTTGGCAATCATTTACCAACAAATAAAACAACACATTAAAAAATGTGTGAATATCAAATTAACAAATCAATCAAGTCATCAATGAATGGATTTGACAAAACCTCCAATGACCTTCAAATGTTTGTGTGTACACGATCAATAACCTTTGAGCCCTACAAATGTGTGATTTTTATAAACAAAAATAAATATCAAAAAAACCATACTCACACCCCTAACGATTGGAGAGAGGGGTACCTACATATGGACAATATGTTTTGGTTTTATCCAAGACAGTCTCTGCTGCAAATATCAGCCAAATAGTATCATCCATGCATGCATTAGTTTTGTTGTCGTTGTTGCTTAAATTATTACAAAATATCATGTTGAGTTTTTGTTTTTTTGATTCTGATTTCGAAAAGGCGTGGCAATGAAACTTTGCAAGTTGTTTACTTTTTTTTTTAAACGGGCGAGGAAGATAAGGAGGGATATCTCCCTATCTTTCTAATTGAATTCAAGCAAATGACGGACAAGTGTTGGAAATTATTAGAAAAGTACATGGGTCCGGTTTAACACCACAGTGTTAATTAAATACAATTAGACACAATAACAACAAAGTGAATTTTATGTAGAAAAAAATCTGAAATAATGGAAACTACTTACTTTTGGTTTTGGTTATGATATTTTACGTATATTGAAAATAAATATTACGCAAACAAAAAAAAAAAAAAATATTTTTATTCTAATAGCTGGCAAAGTTCAACGGGAGAGAAAGACACAGGCAATGGAAAATTATACCATGATTGCCTAACGTCTAATTTGAAGTGCGCTGTGTTGCTCATATATTGCCTTCATAAATCCACAAAGTTTCCATTTTCCATTTTGTGCATGTAATGTGTGCAATGCAATTATTGATTCTATTTTATAATATTGAATTTTAAATATCTACGCAAGCAGTCGATTTTTTTTGTTTTGTTTAACCTAAGTCTGGACTTGATTTATTTCTTCTTCTCGGGGTTTTATAATATTGTCTTTTGTTCAGCCAAGCATTAAGGCGACGTGATTATAAATTCTGAAAATTTTTTTCCTTCGCTCTTTTGAAGAATGCTCATATATTCCCCCTTTTAGCATTGGCGTATTTGGGTAAAGTGTGATGATCTTTGGGGCGAATAAAACCTCCACGTGCTGTGTGGTGATACAATGACCAACAAGGTGTTTGCCAATTCCATTAGACCATGGCGCACATAGAAATTATTTTATAGGCATAATTCACTGTGTGTTTTATAAATTTGAGAAGACTTTTATTTCATAGGCGTTTGTTGTGGCTTAATTAAATTTGGAAGTTGAATTTTTTAATTGAAATAAAGTGGGAGTGGTATGCTACTAGGGTTGGCAAACATTTCTTCAACTAAGTGATTAAAATATTTTTTTAGTTATGCAAAGATCAAGGTAGATTGGTATAGGCTTCACGTTCCTTTTCATACAATCTCATATTTTTTGTAAATTTAAACGACATCTTCTTTTTGTACTAGCAAGTACCCGTTCATACCTTCAAGCCACAATTTGCTCAGTTTGACATTTTTTTTGAATCAAAGCTTCATACATCGTACTGAGACTTGAGACTTTCAAGGTTTTGTTATTATTATTCAAGTTTTTAACATAACGTTTGTAACATTTCTGAATATTCCCACAAAGTATTTATATTCTTTATCAGCATAAAATTCTATGTCGATTTAGCGAAGTCCTCCGTCTGTCCATCTGTGGAAATCTCTCTAGCTTCCGAACGAAATGAAGTAGGTTGATAAACTTTTACTCAAATGTATATTATGTCTGCAGGACTTTTGATATTGAAAATGGGTCATGTAGGTCCATGTTTTGGTATAGACCCCATATAATGGTACCTCCCTATTTTCGGTATTTTGATGATTTTAGCGACGTTATTAACCGGAATTGTTTCAAATTTGGTATTTGAATTTCGTAATGGATACTACAGCCTATGACAGAAAATTGTCTGTGCAGGACCATGTTTTGGTATAACGGATACATTCGGTATTTTGAAGATTTTAACAGAATTTTTAACGGATTTTTTGAAGATAGACAAATTGTATCCAAATGGTGGAGGATATTCAAAGTTCGTTCCGGCCACACTTGTAGTTTTTTTTACTTGTCCTTTTTTCGGAAAAAATAATAGGAATATGTTTACCTTTTGCACCAAGAAGTCCTCTTGGAAATCTTTCCTTTTAAAGTTTACCCACATCCAATTTTTCTGTCCAAACCTATTTCAAAGTCTCCATATGTAAACCCTAGAAATCAAAAGTGACGTCAATATCAATTACCAATTCTCATAGCCACAGACATCAACAGTGACATCCGTATCAAAATTCAGGATTTCACCTCAATTCCTTCCCTTATACTGAATTCTGTATTTTTGTACAATTATGGTACACATCTCCAAAACTACTTTTATATTTCAATTCCAGATACCAACTGAAACCTCAATACCAAATTTGGGGATTCCAATTCTATACCTTCACTCAAATACTAAATTTAGTACTTTTCATACAAATATAGATCTCAAAACCGTTCCATATCTCAATCCTAGACACCAATAGTTATCGCAATATCAATCAATCAATCCCTTCACCCAATACCAAAAGAAATAAAGGACGCATTTCTGAAACAACCATTATATCTTAATTCTGAATACCATCAGTAACTAAATACCAAATTTCAGAATTGTATCTGCCAAATACAGTACTATACCTCCATGTGTCCAGGCTACATATGACCAGCGACCCTAACACCAAATTTCAGATTTCAAGCACTATCTGTTCACCCATTACCAAATTGTAGTAAATATAGTACTATTTAGTACTTTTCGCTCACTAATGCCAGATTTAAGACTTCCAACACAATACCTTACCCAAATGCCAAATTTTGTACCATTTAGTACTTTTTAGATTTAGATTTTAATCACTATATGTTCATACAATACCAAATATTGTACTATTTTGTATTTTTCGTGCACTTCGTGAAGTAAACATTTCCAAAAGCACCCCTTTATCACAAACCTACCAATAAAAGGGACCTCAATACAAAATTTCAAAATTTCAGCTTTATCCGTTCAACATTTAGTACTGTTTGCACACTTAGTGCACTTCTCCAAAACCATCTGCATACAACTTGCTGTTCAACCTTGATTCCCATACCAAATTTTTAGTTTTTAGCCCTAATCCTTCACTTAATACCAAATGTTACCATTTTAGAAGTTTGGTTCCTTTTCGTAACCTTAAAGTTCGAATTTCCAAAAAACCTTTTGAAAATCTATCCTGGACTCCATTAGTGACTCTCATTCCAAATTTCTTAGGGTTGGAATATTAATTCGTAAAAAACGGATTAGATTGATCCACCATTTACTAGGAATACTTGGAACTTGCAATATTTCTAATTCTTTACCCAAAAATTGTTAGTGTTTTTCAACTCAAAATTAATTGTTTTTTTTTCAATTTCTCTTTGCAGCCTGTAATGGAAGACGAAGTTGAAACCACAATACAGACAAATGGTCATTTGAAAAATGGCCATTACAAGAACGGTTATGCCAACGGCGGTGGCGATCACATACTCAAGGAAGGTGTTATCTCATCTAATGAAGCTATTCTTAATTCAGATACCAGTAGCTCTAGTCTTCACCAGAGAAAAGTCAAATAAGATAGAACAACCAGAAACACACACACACACACATACACACAACACAACCACTCGATTTAAGCCTATTAAAATATTTAAATTAATTTTATATAGTTTTTAGCAACAAATTATATACAAAACACAAGAAAAATAAGAAAGAAAGAAATTAAAAACAAAAACAAATGGAATGAAGAAAACTATAAATTATATATTATATAATTTCTTATTTATATAAAAAAAAAAAAAAACAAAAAGAAAGAAAAAACAATCAATCATATTTAAGTGTGTAAAAACAAAAAACCATCCACCACCACATGCAACACAATACCTACCTACCTACCAACACATTTATTATTGTTAAACTCTACTTTACAATCCTTAAAGAACAGCAATCAAAACGAAACATTTAACAATCATCATTGAAACCCCCATATAAACATCCATCTACCTACCCACCACTCATCGACCTCTCCTCCCCCCGCCCGCCTTCTCTTATTATCATTTAATGTCTTTGTCTTTTTGTAAATTATTATAAGCTAAAGAAACCAACCCCTCCCACAATATTCTCCTCCTTTTGCTAGAACAAAGAAAAAACAAAAAAAAAAAAAGGATTAAGCGAACAAACAAACATTGTTTCTTTTTATAATAAGTTTTTGTATACAAACAACAACAACTACAAACTATATTTAAAGAAAATTGTATCTTTTTTTCTTTTGTAAATGGTCAAACTAATAATAATTTCTTAATTTCTAAACAAAAAAAATTGCTAACAACAAGAAAATAAATAAATAAATGACAAGATTTTATAAAATCTTTATAAATTTTATAAAAACCAAAAAAAAAAAAAAAAACAAAACAAAATCAAGTTGTATAATGATGCTTAAATGTTGTATTTAGTATGTATTATTGTTAGTCTCTCATCGTTAGTTATATCGTTTGCAAACGGTTGCCTTTTTTAAGTTCAAAAAAAAATTAATATTAATTGTTAATTAGAAATACACACATAGGTAATGATGTATACAATGTAGTCGGTGTGTTCTTGTGTGCACATACACATCACATTCGAATTTAGCTAGGATGTGAACATGTTTCAATTCACAGAAAAAATAACAAGCAGGCTGTATATGTTTTTGCTTTTTCCATTTTTTTTTCAATTTCTATGTTCTGTTAAACAATTTTTAATTTATAAAGAAAGGAAAGTTTTATTTTTTATGACGGGATGTTGCCTGTCGGTACACTAAATAAAAATGGACCTTTTTAGACCATAGGGCGGTGTTATTGTCGAAGTTATAATTTTATTGCTCCACAATGACAGGCTAAAGATTTCTAAATCAATTGAAACGACTTACAGGTTTTTAATTGATCTAATTTCGGGATATATTCAACAGATTACGGATAAAGAGATGGCATTACCTAAATTTACACCAATTTTTTTAACTTAATATTTAATATTTTTTAATATTCGATGACTGTATTATTTGAAATCTAGACCTGAATTTAGTACATTTCGATAAGGCAACCTGAGACCACTTTTCCTCTTTGATAATCGATCATCCATTAAAGTTCACCTTCTAATGACATGTATGTAATAAAAATGCATCGTCACAGTCTTTCATACATATGAAATATATGCATGACCAAATCCAGTTAAAAAATCGTCATAAAATTGTCGTTATAAATTGAAAATGAACAAATCTTTCTACAATAAAAGAGTTGAGATTTTTTTTCACAAATTTTGCCGTCGAATATTTTTTGTAAGAGCTTTTGATTTTTTAGAGTTCTGTTTTAAAAATGAAGTAGAACCATAGATTAGTTTGTTTCAGAAATACGGAATGTGATAAAAGCCGATTAGATTGTGAAATTATGTAAAGTTTAGTAGTCCTTTGATGAGAAACGTATATTTCTAATAAAATTATATTAAAAAAAAAATCAATGACATTTTTCATAAGATACAACAATTTGAATTACGGCAAGAAGAGGTTGATTTTTTTCCGTCACATACCCGCTAGTGAGCTGGCTTCTTTATCCTTCCAAAGAAGATTTGTTTTTCTTTCTTAAGGAGAATTCTCGCCACCAAGATATGGTATTTAGGTTACTTACTCCTAATGAGTGCATCTTTATTAACGATTTGCAAATTCCAATTGTTTGTTTTAGGGCATAAATTTATTTTTGCATTTATCGAATCCTTGGCCGCAGGGCTTTAAGGTTATTTAGATAATGAATCGTTTTTTTTTTTTTGACTTACCTGCATTAAGATTTTAGTGCCGACGTGTCTCCTTTTTCGAATTCCATTTTCGACGACTTGCATAGGTGTCATATCTAGGTAATTGCCAGTAAGGGTCAAACTGTTCATTGGTTCCTCAAAGCCCCCCACATCCAAAATATTGAGGATTTTCTTACTTTGCACATCGGTTAGCTGAAACGTTCTGTCACATTTTCAACGGAATTGCCTAAAATATTTAATTTTAGTAAGTAATGGTACACTAAAGGTATGGTAGAGCTACCAGCTAATTACAATATGTTTCTGAATGCGCTTGACTTCTGGCAAATTTGTATCTGTATTTTCCGCTTTAAAAAAAAAAAAACATTTTCACAAAAATAATTGGAAGAAACGCAATGGAATTGAAATAAAATTCAGGCATTTTATTCAGGCAATGCAGGTCGCAATGCATATTGCCCGATCGAGATGACATTTTGCACACATAATTTATTTGGCCCAAGGACGAATCCTATTGAAATTTAGGTATGGCTCCCATATCTGATTTCGGGTTAATTGTGCACCAAATGGCCAATATCAGTTCAAATGTCCTGTATTTTGGCAATCCGACGGAGTTCAGTCAAGAAGCAAGTACATCAAATTTGGTGGGAATCGGTTTAGTTATAGCTATATCTCCCATATTTATCTTTCATCCGATTTGAGGTTTTAGGTCCCTCACATGTGTAATATGGACTCCCCAACAATGATCTTTGGTACTAGATATCAGATACAGCTCAGAAATAAGTACCTAAAATTTTGTCAAGATCTTTTCAGATTTGGATGTAGCTCCCATATACATCTTTATCCGATTTCAGGTTTATTGTGCATCAAATGGCTAATATAAATCCAAATGGACTGAATTTTGGTACTTAAGGCGGAATTTAGTCTAGAAGCAAGTACATTGTGAACCATATATGTAATATCAGCTCAAATTGGATAGATTTCTTCATTTTCCAGGGAATTTTTCCATTTGGTGAAACTTGGTCCGGTATATCTATTGCTCCAATAAATATTTTTTAATATAATTCTTATCGAAGTCGTATCATGCACTATACAGCAATATTATTTGGTACTAGAGGGAAAAATTTATTGAAAATCGATTCTGAGTTGGATATAGTTCCCAAATTGTGACAACTCTAAAGCCATGATTCGCATTCAAATAAGGTTCATAGTTGGTATGATGTACTTCACATAAATTCCCAATATAAAGTTTTTTTGTTACGGGAGCTCTACTTAATATGGCCCCGCCCGACTTACTGGTTTTATATATATGAAAAAACAATTCTTTGAAAAGAAAAAAAAATATTAAAAAAAACACATGTTGAATTGTGGCTATATATGCGAAAAAAGGACCTCATCTGTGAAAATGGTCCTCCACCATAATATAATCAATTATGAATTTTGAATATCAAATAGAAGGAGACATTTGTATCATTTTGAAAATAAGAACTCTCCTCCCCTTAAATTTAAAATTAAATTTAGTTCCCCAGCCTTGGTCTATACATGGTCGGCCAGTGGCCTTACTCGACAATTAAGACAGAATTGTGATTTGAAATTCAAAGAGAGGTAAATCACAATTGTGCAAAAATTACTAATGCCATGTTTACGTTAGAACTTCTTGCAGGGTTAACCTGCTTCAACATAATTTTTTTTTGAAGTATTAGTAAGGGATATGCAATGTTAATCCATATCCAGTGGGTTAACTCATTTATATTAAATGTTCTGTAAGATTATTTTCAAATTCAAATACTAAACTACTAAGTTTATGGTCAAGGCCTATTGTATAGGCCAATCCAATTTTGCTATTCATTTTGAAAGAACAATTTGTTGTTTTGAAGATAACTCCAAGAAGGCATTTAATATAGGGTTTGATGAGTTGTTTTAAATAAAACTAAAATTAACATAACTGGGATCATTTAGACTCTCTTAATAACAAAAATACAAAGCCTCGCTATGGCGCTGTGTAGATTTACGCACGAAATTTCGTTTCATAAACATGTCAGAACCAAAAAAGGTTAAATGTCAGCGATTGACTTGAATTTCCGTAAAGGCCATAAATGCCACTTGCGTGAACAAGTTCCATTCTTGACTTTGTCATCTATATTACAGCGCAAATATAACCGGTCTTTTTCGAATAAATGATTTTAATAAAATCAGCCTAGATTTGCATGGGAAAACCCACGGTTTTTTATTTATTTACTTTTTTGTTAAACAAATATAGGCTCTTATATTTGTTTCAGAACGAAATTTAAACTTGTTTTTCAATTTTTTTAAAGAACATGCATATTTGGTGGATATGATTTGAAATTATATTTTTATAAAGAATAATTTATTTGAATTCGAAAAATGGCAAAACATAAAATTCTGGAAAAATACAAATCATGGCCAAGGTCATTTTCTTTTGGGAAGTTATTTTAATTATTTACATTGTAAATAACTGCAGGTTGATTACCGATTATTGAACAACAAATAACAATGAAATGGGGGTTTTTGAAAAATAACAATGTTGTTAAGAAGTTACAGAATTGTAAATAACTGCAGGTTGATTACCGATTATTGAACAAAAAAAAAAAAATAAATAAAAAAAAAATAATAAATATGAAATGGGGTTTTTTTGAAAAAATAACAATGTTGTTAAGAAGTTACAGAATAGGCCCTAAATATGATACGATATTTGTCCATGTTTTTTTTAAGTTGAGAATTGAGGCAATATGAAATAAGTACGTAATGGAAAGTGGAGAACATTTTTAATATACGATAGACCATGGCTAGAATGGTCATTTTTATACCTTACACCACATAGTGGTAAGGGTATTATGTCTTTGTGCATTTGTTTGTAACATGAAAGAGGAAGCGAGATAGAGCCATAGTTACTTTTGAGGATCTCCATAGAATCACTTTCTGAGTTGAATTATGCATGTCGGTCCGTCCGTCTGTCCATGTATTCTTGTGAACAAAATGCAGGTCTCATTTATTATCCGATTGAGATGAAATTTTGCACAAATCATTTGTTTGACCCTAGGACGAACCCTATTGAAATTGGAGATAATCGGTAAAAATTTAGATATAGCTCCCATATATATCTTCGTCCGATTTGCCTTTTATTTTGCACCAAACGTGTAATATCAGCCCGAATAGTATGGAATTTTGCACATAAAACCAAATTATGCCTTAAAATAAGTATGCCAAATTTGATCGAAATTGATTCAGATATAGCTTTAGCTCCCATATATATTGTTCATCCGATTTGCTATTTTTGTCCTCCGCAAACGTAATATGCACTCTGTAACAACAATATTTGGGGAAATATATCAAATACAGCTCAGAAATACTTTTGCTAAATTTTATCGAGATCGGTTCAGATTTGGATAATGCTCCCATATATAACTTCGTCCGATTTTCCTTTTATTGTACACCAAACGTCTATCCCAAATGGGATGGAATTTGGCACATGCGACCGAATTGGGTCTAGAAGCTAGTATGCCAAATTTGGTGAAGATCGGTTCAGATATAACTATATCTCATGTATATATTGTTCATCCGATTTCTTGTAT